GCAGCGGCGTGGGGCCGGACCCGCGCGAGGGCGGCCCCGGTGAGCGCGAAGCAGCGTTGCCGGCTCCGGAGACTGAACCGAGGGCTTTCCTTGCAGATCATCCACACGGACAGTAACACCGTCCTGGGCCAGAACGACACGGGCTTCAGCTGCGACGGCTCCTCCAACACCTTCCGCGTCATGTTCAAGGAGCCCGTGGAGATTTTACCCAACGTCAACTACACGGCGTGTGCTACTCTCAAGGTACCGCGCCGAGGATGGGAGACATTTACGGGACAGATGAGAGCAGGTTCTTTGCTCCCCTCAGGGCAGCGGTTCTGAAGGGTTCTCCTTCAGGCCTGCAGCATTAACCCCGAGGGTTTGCTCCGCAGTCCGTCCTTCCAGCACGGAGGTGCAACGGGAATGTCGCCATCAGCATTCAGAGTTAGATTTTAACTTGAGCACAAGCTTATAGTAATGAAGAGGCTACGTTAGCGATGGATTGATGTCTCTTCTGTTCATACAGCAGAGCTGCCCGCTTGGCGGCTGTGTAGTCCTGCTGGCATTGGCTTCAAGTTGATGGCTCTTAAAATCTGGTTAAATAAAGCAGTAAAGTTCATTAGAGGCAAGAGCGTTGTTCAAAATGCCTCAGGTGCAAGAAGTGGGCAGGGAAGGGAGGTGTTGAACTTGCCAAAGCCGTTTCCTTCAGGGCAGGTGGTGAGGCCAGGTCTCCCGGAGCGTCCCTGGGCGCCGGGGCTCGGCTGGGCTCTCATCCCTGTGCTGATCCCTTCTCCCATGTCCTGTAATCAACACAGGGTCCAGATTCCCACTACGGAACCAAAGGACTGCGCAAAGTGATCCACGAATCACCCACCACAGGAGCCAAAACCTGCTTCACGTTCTGCTACGCGGCTGGGAATAACAACGGCACTTCTGTGGAAGATGGACAAATCCCAGAGATCATCTTCTATACATAGTCCAGCTGCCCGGTTGGCTCTGGACTTTTCCGTTCTCTTCCCCGTTGACCTTCCAAACTAAATTTCTGGCTGAGTTTGACCACACCAATTGGAGCCACACTAGCCAAAGGTCTCAGTAAAATCATTTCAAAGCTCATGTTTTGCCTTGTGCTAGTGATTCTGCTGCTATCATGTACCAGAGTAACTGGTTTACCAGTGTCAGTCGTAGATTGTCCGTGGCTACTCATTTTTCACCTTACTGATTAACCCTATCTAACAACATGCATTTTTCTTTTTTTTTTTTTTTTTCTT